AGATCAGTCAACTGTCGCTTTTAACATATGTAAACAAGATATACAGAGGGACAGGATCAAACGCAAACATAATCTTGTCACAACAGAACTATTTTTAGATATCATATTTCATTCTGTGGCTGCAGAATTGCACGCATGCCATATAGGTCAAACAACACTTCTCTTGTGACTCCACAGTTCATAAATTGTTGTGTTTGACTAGACAGGACATGATGGCCTATTTTTTCCAAGGAGAAGGTGAAGTGTTGATGGGGCGTGTAGTGATAAATCCCCTCTGAGCGAGTGTGTGTTTGTCTAGTTAAACTGTGGGATGGGCCGAGTGCTCCGGGACAAGACCAGACAGGAGCAGTCGCTTCACATGGATACCAGGCGGGCGGTACCGCCGCCGTGGCAACAAATCAAAGTGTGACACTGCACAACCGGTAATAACTGTATTTGTGGGTTATGTAATTAATGGTTGATGGTGATTCTCTTCCATTAGAACTTAGAGACTGTTCATTATCACACCTCACTGCTTTTGAGATTTTTCACCACAGCTGTGGATGGAAGTGTTTTTATCATGGGAGGTAAAGAAGGAAGAAGATCGTCTCCGAATCCTCCTCTGTCTGTGTTTTAACAGGTCATGTCTACCTGTCTGCACAAGAGGACCACCCCACATCCTGTTCCTCGCAATTACATCATAATGCTGTTGACGGTTGGCACAGCAACAGACGAGCAGGGAATTGCTGCAGCTTCCCCAACAAATCGGTACTCGCCTTTAAGAGTTCTCCGTTTATAGCGAAATAAATATTCAGCCTTTGAACAATCAAATGCCAAATTTAATAAGTTGATAGATGAAAGAAAAAAGTTTGAGTTTGGTTCAGACAGAGGAGCTGGTCAGGCTCACTAACACTAATGAGATATACAACGTTAGACAGGTTATCACACACTGACAGTGTGTAGTGTAGTGTAGTGTAGTCACCAATCCCAAATGAATCATTGGATTAAATTACATAAAACTGAATGAGGTTAGAATGTAAACCTCAGGGCTTTAAGAGAAGATTAAAATGAAATCAAAGCAACTGGGAGGACTTAAAAACATCAAAAATACTCATTGGGTTTTTTCACTTGAGTAAAATTATCTTGTTTTCTTACTAAGATCTAAATCCAGTAGTGGAAGAAGTAGTCAGGATTACACGTAAAAGTGGCAATACCACACTTTAAAATCAAAATAGTGTATTAAAAGTAAAATGTAACTTACACAAGTAACACCAACATTGAGACTTCCATGTCTAACATTTTGACCCATCAAAATGGTAAAAGCTTTGACAAACAGCAGTACACGGTCTGCTCTGCTATCAGCAGAAAGCTCCAGATGAAGTGGACCTTGAGTGGAACTGTCTTCAGATGTAAAGCCAATGATAAGAAGACCTAAAGTGCTCAGAATAATGGAAAGTTAGAACAACATGCTGATTAAGATCACGGGTTAGGGTCAAAAGTTTGTCAAAAGTGTAAAGTAGCATAAAAAAGAAATACTCAAGTAAAGCACAAGTACGTGTTAATTAAGTAGGCTATACTACTTCAGTTACTGAAGGCGATTTAGTTACTTTCCAATGTGAAAGTCAGAGGAAGAGTTATTGGAAGCCTAACCCTGCCAAGGATTTCAACTACATTTCAGGACTGTGAGAATAAAGATGTCAGCAGTGATTTACTGGTTTACAAAGTGGAGTTAACTTAAAATGTATTTCCATTGTCACACACATGAAATTTGACCTCTGGATTCAACCCATCCCAAGCAGTTAGGATGCAGTGGGCTGTTTTAACTGGCCTAGGGAGCAATTTGGGGTTCAGTATCTCGCTCAAGGATACTTTGACATGTGGATTGGGGATCAAACCACCAACCTTGTGATTAAAACATGACCCGCTCTGTCCCCTGAGGTACGGCCGGGACAGCATTTGGTCCTGTGCACAGATAAAGAAATAGACACATGACACACATTGCCTCAGGGTGCACCAGAGTGCCAGACTCCCTCCCTCCGTTCTCCTCCCTCTCCTCTGTTCTCTGAAAGACAAGTCCAGACAAATCCTCTGTCTCTGCCTCCCTCTTGCATAAACTCGACAGGCCTGAGGCCCTGAGCTGCAACAAAGCACAAATCAGAGCGCAAACATCCAACTTGACTCTTGCTGCTCATGAGCCAAATCAAGCAGAACACACCTCGTTACAGCTGGCCTCTCACTCGCTTACCTGGGGAGAAACAAAGGAGGGCAGGAGGCCATGGCTCATAGAAGGAGAATAAAAGGATTACTTTTAAGTATGGCTTGGTGCCGAAGCTTAAACCCATGACAGCTACTCAAAATGATCTGAAAAGACACTTATGCCCATTATAGAAAACCATTTAATTTATTTTCAGACATCTTGATTACTCATATTGCATGATATGATATGATCAGTTTCAAATTGAAAAGAGAGAGAGAGAGGGTATAGAGTTAGATGAAAATATTGATTCTGCTCCCATGTCTGCACATTACGATTGAAGCTACAGCTATAGTAGCAGCAGGTTAGCTTAATAACCAAGCATAAAGACTGAACAGGTCAGCAATGGTTTATTGGCAAGTACGTTACACTTACAAGGAATTTGGCTTGGTGATTGGTGCATAACAATAAACACAGTGCAATAGTATAAGTCATAATTTAAAAATAAATAAAGAAAAAATATGTCCAATAAAATATGGTAAACAAACAAACAAGAGTATGTTAAAACAAGTGTGTTATCAAGTGTATATTAATAGAGAAAAGTTGTGCAACTGTAAGCAATTGCCTTCAGGATGTAAAGTGTCTGAGCCAGTGGGGGTCCCGGGCTTTATTGATGAACCCAACTGCAGATGGGAAGAAACTGTTCTCGTGATGGACCTCAAACTCGGTGAGTTTGAGCAGAAGGGACAGAATGCAGCCTTGGGGGGAACCGCTGTGAAACAACCAGCCTGGCACTGTCCAAAGGTAACAAAATCTGCCAACCAGCACCTTTAAAGCTAACTAATCAACACATCACATATCTTGTTCGTTCATCTGGTCAAAAACTGACACGTAAAAATGTTAAATTGTGGCTTTTTGAGGAGTTATGTGCTGGTCTGGAGTATAACATGACCAGGCCGAGTGTAGCTTGGATTGGTTATACGGCACAGGGCAGGTAAAATAATGCTTACGGATGATTGCTAAAGAGATCATTTCTGTATTTTATAGAAAACTCATCTGGAAATCATGTTAATTATTCTATTTTCCAAATATAAACCAGGCAACTAGACATACTGAACACATAAACATCGGAAACAATACTATAGTATTGCCTATAATCACATATATGTCATGACTTAAGCTGTAAACTATAAACACTTCTGTGGCCACGATTGTGATTATTGGGTTACAAGAAACACAGTTTTAAAAAGACATACCTTTGCTCTAACCACCACCGACATGTGTGTGTATTATTGTTTGCCCCAGATAAAAGCAGCTGTAGACATATGTAAACTGGGCGATACAGCTTTAACAGGCTGCCCACGGGTGGATCAGTTTTTGGCAGACTATTTGGTAAAGAAATAATCTACTCATAATGTGCGTTTGTTACACTTTGGTTTTTGTATGAGCTTTAGAGGAGCTGGTCAGCCGATTTTGTTTGTTGCACTAATTATTGCTAAGCTAACCACGTGTTAAGCAAAAAAAACAAAAAAACAAGCAAACATATTTCCAAAAAGGTCAAACTAATTTTCAGCGAGGAGAAATGATTTTAGTCTGGCTGATGTCATATTCTTCCACTTATGTGACTCAGTGGTTTTTTAATGTTTCCCTCAGTGTGTTCATTGATACTGGCAGTGTGTGGGATGCTGTGTGTTAGCAGTATACACCCCTTGCTCGTCCAGTGCCAGGAGAAGTAAACAGACACCAACACGCTTTGGAAACAGACAAAGAAGGATTCAGGGCAGGGAAACGGTTACAAACTCACCCACACAAATTGAAAGGAACCTACTTTGATAGAGTGCTCCCTGCCTGGAAAATAAACACACACACTCTCCTCTGGCCTAATTTGGACTGCTGTCCTTCCGTCAGCCTTACACATTCAATCGGACATCACAATGGCCCAGTGTGCACCCACTCAAAAATCCAGCTAACTGTAGAATAGAAACAAACCACGTGGGATGAGACTGCCCGTTGATCTTTACCCTGCTACCAATCTGCCCACTCTGCTGCTTCAATAGAAAACAAAACATGTGATTATTATTATTATTATGTTTAGATTCAGCAAAGAGATGGCAGAAATGTGGATTTGCTGGTTGTCATAAAGAGCATATCCAGGGTGACAGTGAGGAAATGTTTTGGGTTCAATCCTCTTGTTTCAGCAAATGCCTGCAGACTCAAAAAATGAAGCCAATTATGAACTCATTCATTTGCTTTAATGGTGTCAATTTAACTTGTATAGTATGTAGCATTGCTGCAGGCTGTATTAATGTCATTTTGACCCTTGGTACAATACAGGAGTGGCAGTTTCCCGCATAAATCAAAATATACTCATCTCCTCACAAACCTGCACGAATTTGCTGGATTTTGAATGAATGCAGCCCAGGGTAAGTTTCACAACGGCCACACAGCAGGGAGACTGACAGCAAGGAGACTTCATGTGCTTCACACAGAAGCACCGGAAAACACACGGCGATGTTATAACCCATCCTCCACCGCTTTGTATGAGACACTTAAAAGTGCCACATACCCTGAGCCTCGGCGTTGTTTGACCAAATGAGAACAGGCTACTAACCCTGCTTATTGGCTGAGAGTTAAAGCCCCACATAGGGTTAAAATGCCCCCAGAAGTGTCCTGAAAACAGCAAAAATAGTTTAGTATGTGATAAAAGTCATAGCATAGCAAGTCATAAAAAGTGAAAAAATGTCATAGCATGTCATAAAAAAGTCAAAAATAACATAGTATAGCATGTCATGAGAGGTAAAATAAAATGTCATAGTATATTATGGCATTAAAAAAAAAAAATCACAAATTACATGGTATACAAGTAAAAAAATTAGTTTGTCATTAGATTAAAAAAATATAGTCAAAGTATAGTAAATCATAAGTAAAAAGACTCATCTGTCATAATTGTAATGGAGGATCATATTTTAAAAACTGATCATACATTTCGTATGAAAATCTTAATCAACACAACTCCTAAATAAATGGTCTTAAGTGAAACATACAATATTTAATGGAAATACTTAAGTACAAGTACCTCACGATTGTACTCGAGTAGCAACTTGAGTTACTCATGTACTGTACAGAATAGTACATTACTTGAGTAAATGTATTAAGTTACTTCCCACCACTGTTTGTAACCAACACCGGGAAGATGTTTCAGCTTGACTGCTGCAGTGTAGATTTTAAACAGTCCTCAGTTCACACACATCAACATCGCCCTCTGCTGGACACTATTGACTACAGCAGAAACTATTTTGTTCTGTAAAGTGAAGTATTACATTTGTTTTTTTTAATACTACAATACATTAATGACAACCAAGTGCAGTGACAGGGTTAAAATGTTTTACTGTAATGCTACAGTACTCAACAAGTATGAATGGAAACATCGGGCAGCTTCATGTTTACTGTAGTTTCGTTCAATATGACAAAAACATCCGGCATGTAGAATCCCCACGACATGGCAGTACAGTAGAAAACAGGAAAAGAATGAAAATAAGTAAATAAAAGCATTCAAAGAGTCGACTTCCTGTGCTCTCCGACTCTCTCCCATTGGGTAGATCAGGACTGGCAATGGAGACTGAAATTCAAGGGTTAAAAACCAGTGAAAACCAAGATCACAGATCTGGTTTTATATAGCACAACCATAATGGCTTACTCGCACACATGTGCTCCTCCACACTCATTCACTCACACACATACGCGACAAACTCACACGACCCTGGGAGAGCAATTGTCGACCCTGGTCTCCGTCCTCCAAACTGAAGTAGATTAGGAAAGTCAAGGTTAATCACCCAATAAATACATTCTGAAATCTCTTTTTCAAACACAGACCTCCAGACAAATATATACAAATTGATTCAAAGAAAAAACAAAACGACTCATTACTAAGTGTTTACATCTTAAAACAGACTCTTGAAAGTGGTGTGGACCAAGACGCACACACAAACCCCTTCTATCAGGCCAAAGTACAGAAATCATTTTCCGTGTATTTTCACTCGCTCGCTCTCTATCCCTCCCTCCACACGCTGCCTCTCTATGTAACTGATTGTACACACTAGTGTCGTGATCTAGACCAAAAGCTATGCTATTATCCCTTCTGTTACAGCACTACAGGCACACAAGTACAAAAGACACTCCGTTTGGCTCTCTGCCCTGCCTCGTTCCCATTATCCTTCCTTCCTACGTGTCACTACTAACACATACAGTGCTCCCTGTAAACAAGTACTCTTTGTCCTTTCGGATTATAAATACTGTTTTGGTAAAATCATCATCATTAAAAGACGAGACGGAGTGTATTTGAGCATACATTGATACAAAACGCAAAGAATTGCACTGTTGGAAGATATTCCTTCTACATTTCTCTTCTTCTTTTTTTGGCTTCAGCATTTAAGGCCCAAATCTGGAGTGGAAAGGGAGTAGGAGAAGTCCAAGCGGTGATCTGCCTGCGCCAATAGGGCCTACTGTAGTGTAGGAACAAACAACACACATACAGGCACACGAACAGATAAACAGTATTGCAGGGCAATATAAAAAAGATACTAAGGAATGGTGAAACATCCTCTTTGTCATTTCTTTTTGCAAAATCATTCTTCATCTTCATACATTTCATTTTTTAATTTAAAATCCTTTCAGCCATGCTCGTCTCTCGTCCCTCATTTCCGGTCCAAAGTGTGTGTGTGCCGGTGCTATTTCAGTCTGGCTACACTAGGGCGTGCTGTTCCTCTCTGCAGATGACCGACAGGCGGTGGCTGTGGCTGTGTTTATTGCTTTATTGTCCATGCTCCTCCCCTATCAGAGGAAACAAAAAGGGACAAAGTTGCCCTCTAAACACTGATCCGACGTCTTGGCCCTCATCCGCTGATTGTAGTCTGTGCTTTTTTTCCCGGAGGGATCTGATGCCAGATCAGTGCCGGAGGGAAACTCCTCCCCGAGGAGCGGGCTCAGGTAAAAACGTAGTTGAGGAGGAGCTGGGAGACGAGCAGGACACAGAGGACGAGACAGTGGCGGCCCGTTAGCGACACGCTGTCGTCTGTTGCTCTCCGACGAGTCAGCTGACGACTCAGAGCCACCAGGTTCCTGCAGAGAGGAGAGGGTCAGCGTGAACAAGGGTTTAACAATGCTCGGCAGGAATTTAACAGAAACAATCGCAATAAAACACAAAACAACCCTCCTACAATGGGAAACTGGTTGTTTCAAGCTCTGAAATGATTCATCATGATAATATAATTATGGATATTTTTGTAACAGATGCGCTGACACCACTTTGTATTCATCCATCAGTGGATAATAATGTGAGTTTCTAATTCTGTTTTGAAAGCATATCATACAATGTCTTTCACTAGCCTTACCCTTAACTTAAACATGACTGTTAACAACTGTTTGCATTTGGGGAAGCATGTTTCTTTTCACCAATAACAAAAAAAAAAAAACTCAAGGTGCGACTTCTTAAGACATTATGTGTGTGTGTGTGCATGTAAACGTGTTTTATTGTTTACCGCTGGATGTCCTGCTGTGTCTTCTGTATGGATGTGATGGAGGCCTCTATCAGGGCAATGTCCTTCACCTCTTTGTTGCACCGTGCACACTGGTTTGAGAATCCTGGGGACATGAGAGGCGAGAACATAAGACTTGTGGAGCACGGTTTAAGATATTGTTAGTTTTGGATGTGTGTGCGCGCCTCACCTTCATTGTCCGAGGACTCGTGTGTAGGTTCTGGTGTGGTGCTGCTGCTCTCAGTGTTTTGGCTGCAGCTGGACGGCTGGCTGCTGGCCTTCCTTCGTTTGCCATTCATCTCAGCCTGGGAGGAGGTAGAAGAGTCTTAAGGGCAACTCATTCAAACTTCACTGCGGACAAAATTGACAATGAAATGCAAGCTGATGCAGCAAAGATGTGGATTAGCTGTCTGGGCATCACTGCAGCAAATATCAAGTGAGAAAGAAAGGGGCCGATCATGCTCGTCAGTGATTTTTCAAACCCCTAAATATCAGGTGCAGCCTGGCTTGACAGGAAGCAGTGCAGCTTTCCCTTTTGATGAAAAGTCAATGGCACACCCACATCAATAATAGATCAACGTTGCTGTAGCTTGGAGGTGTGTGTGATTGGTCTAGCTAACCTTCTGTTGGCTGGCCCAGCTGTGGCTGTAGGAGAGCCCGTTGTGTTGCCTCTGGTTTCTCTCGTGCGTCTGAACCACTCCGTCCTTCTCAAACTGAACCAGACAGCGCTCAGGGTCCCACGGTCGTGTGCTGCCAAACAGGACAACATGATAAGCTGTGGATGCAGTATCATTTAAATCTGAACATGTCATTGTTGCCATGTTTTCCTCTCCTTACTCTACAGCTCAATTCTTGTTATACTGACCTAAAATCGAAACTAAAAAGGCTGAACAGTGTGTGCCATCTCCTGTGTGTTATTCTGGTGCGAGTGTGTTCATACTCTATGTGCCTGTAGGTCCACTCGGAGGTGACTGGGTCCTGATGGAAAAGTTGTGAGAGCCAGGGTTTGTCTCCCCTTTCCTTGGCCTCTCCCCGCTGAGCCTCCTCCAGCACAAACTTCTCCTGGGTGGCCCTCAGCTGGTCCCGGTCCATGATGGCACTGGTCACATGCTGCCAGAGTCTGTCAGGAGCATATCAAAATGACTTGTATATTCTACATGTAAATGTCACATAACCCTGCAGCAGTTTTGCTCACTGAAATTCACATACTGACACACATAAATGGAAACCATTGTTAATTACATCTACCTGCAAAATGTATGCCGAGAGAAATAAGATGATCGTTTCCTTAAATTACCGACCTTACTAATGACATACATAGGTGACATATGAATAATCTTGAGGAATAAGCAATTGTGATTTACCTTTCAGACTCAAACTCTCCCTGCTGGTCTATTCGGACCACTTGTCTCTTGAGGCGGCTGCTGCGGATGTCTGAGCTCGGGTTCCACAGCGTCTCCTGCTGGGCCGAGCGCTTCTCGTGAATGAACACCTCGTTGTCCTGAATTCAGCAAAGGCAACACAATGCTTCACTCCCATCCCATCCCATCCCACTGGAAAACATTTATTGGTTTTGTTAATTTCCAGAACGTAACTGGATAAAAGCTCTCACCCAGTGTCCTTCAACGGTGGCCAGTAGCTCCTCTCCCACGTAGATCTTCCCGCTGATCTGATTCACAGAGCAGGCGCCTCCAAGGAAAGGCTGCAGTCAAAGTGTAAACACCTTCACTTCACCTGCTGTTATCTCAGACTGTACAGTATCGAGTTCCACTAATCAAGCAACTATCATAATCTAAGAAAAAATAACTAGCCAGTGAACATTTACAAATACTACTTGTTGAAAAATGTACCTTGAGTTTGAACTCCAGCTCTGTGAAACATTTGGTTTTCTCACACTCAATGGTAACCTTCCCACCCAGCTCCAGTGTCATAGTGCCGTACAGGATCCCTACAGGAGGCACGGATACAGTATTACAGCATCAGAGCAACAGCATGAGGAGAATAACTAAATCCTGTTGGAAGCTGCAGATAAATCATACCATTCCCTGAGTGGACGCACGGCTGAGAAAATGATTTATGATCTAGTGCCTCCACGGCAGACTATTCTCAGTGAGAGGGGTCTGCAGTGAAGTAAGCAACCCGTCTTGAAACCAAACCTCGCCTCTTTATAACATTCATAACTATGTTTTCATCAGTGTATAATGACTTATCTACATCTACCAAGTCTGCCATGTTGCAGTGCCATGTTTCTACGGTAGCCCAGAGCGGACAACCCAAACGCTGGCTCTAAAGAGAGCCTTTAACATTTTCACTTTAGGCCACCATGCCACTAAATCCTACACACTTTAAGTCCTTTAAGTAAAAGTAATACCAGAGTGTAAAAATACTCTGTTAAAAGTACAAGTCCTGCAGTCAAATGTTATTGAATCAAAACCAAGTATGAACATCAAAATATATTCAAAGTACCAAAAGTAAAAGCATTCATTATGCTGAATAGCCCATTACAGAATACTACATGCTATATTGTTTATACTTATTGATGCATCAATGTGTTTATCACTTTCATCTTGCAGCTTGTAAAGATGGAGCTAATTAACTACTATATATACTTAATAATTATATATATTATAATATATATTATATACTATATAATAAAACATAGTTTAAGTTGAATTATGGTCTGTATCAAGACTCTAGTAATTAACACTAAAATTGTTTTTTGTGGCTAAGTGGATAGCAGGGCCGTCTTTCAATCAGAGGGTCGGCGGTTCGAACCCCGGCTCCGCTAGTCGCATGTCGATGTGTCCTTGAGCAAGACACTTAACCCCAAAATTGCTCCCGTAGCTGTGCCTACGGTGTAGAAACGTAGACTCTGAATTGTAAGTCGCTTTGGATAAAAGCGTCTGCTAAATGACTGTAATGTAATGTAATGTAATATTGTCAAATATATGGAGTGAAGTAAAAAGTGCAATATTTACCACGAGATGTAGCAAAGTAGAAGTATAAAGTGGTGTATTCTTTAGACAGAGTAGACATTGTAACAACGTTACAGGATTTATTTTAATTGATTAGTAGTGCCAGAGGTCTCTTAAGAAAAAGAACCTCGTGCACTCACTATATCCTATCTGCCCCCGAGAAACTGGACGAGCTTCTGTTTTCCAAGCCTCTCAACAACTTCCTATCCTTTCTGTAATACATAGGGTGCTTACAGTCTGCGTCCTAGTTTTCATTGACTCACAATTGTAATTGAATAACACTGTGGTGGCTGGGCGTAGCTGCAGAGGGGACAGAGGGGGGGGAGGGGAAGAGTGGTTCAGGGAACGGTGCAGTGAAGAGGCTTGATTAGCCGCAGCTGAAACTGATCCTTGATTGTCTCTCTCGTATATAAACATTAGTAGGGACGGAGAGAGACGTAAGCAGGAGACACAGACACGACAGATGATCCTGACGAACGCCCTGTCAGCTCCTGTGTCTCCTGCCCCCCCCCGTCTGTCCCCTCTGCAGATGCGCCCAGCCACCACAAACACATTATAAATAACATATATCAACCATGTATTTAGCTGTATGGATCCAATAGTATTCAAGAGGACAGTGAAGGTGACCGTTGCGTTTCATATTAAGAAAATTGGATTGTTATTAATATAACAGGATTAAGAGGGACAGCAACAACAAAATTGACCTTTTGTTCCCATTTAGAAAGTTTAAACAATGTATGGCAATAGAAATTGCCTTATATTTTGGGAAACCTACTGACAATGTTTACATAGAAACAAGGACACGGAGAGACAGTGAATGGTGATGGTCAACAATAGTTACCTTTGCAGTGAGCGTACGGCATGGTGATGACGTACTCCTCGTCCCGGCCCAGGAACAGCAGCCTGGCTTTGCCATCCAGAATAGCTGACAGAGAGTTACCTACAACAGCAGGAGAGTGAAGCACCTAATTAATACCACGGCAGGGTTCTGGTATCGGTGCCTGTATTGTCATTTTTTTTAACGATACACAGCTGTGCCCTTGCATTACTTTAAATGCATGTCTATTGGTTACATTGGACAAACAGATTACATATTGTAGTGTGCTGTGTACCATAGAACTTGGATTTGGCCAGGATGCTCCCATTGATTGAAAACCCATCCTTCCTATTGCAGACATAAAAGGCAGAGATGGGCGGGTGATGGGACACCTGGCAGGGGAAAGAGAGAGAGATTAGAGCAGCAGTGTGAGAAAAAGAGGTGTCAGGTCCCCGAGCACATACTCATTTTAGACTTGCTGCATTTCACAGGTTTGTGCTCCGTGAAACACTTCACACAAGGGAAGAATCATGTCCTGTGCATTTACACCTTCTAGCTATGAATCTGGTTTCACCTGTTCAGCTATGTAGAAAGTGCAGCTGTCGGTTTGAGGATGAAGCCAGCAACAGCGAAACGTTTCCCCCAAGATTGGGTTGTAAGGCTTCTTCAGACCCTGGAGAATGCAAACACATACAATCACATTAGTATCAATGTAAGCATCTTCTGACACAGGGACACTTAACCAATACCTGATGGTGAGGACCAGTTACATTGCAGATGATCACAGGATCAAACTGGCCTCACCAACTGAGATTTAAAGAGTTAAGTCACAGACAATAATCATCACCAAAGAACACATTACCAATAGTCTGGACTCAATAATTCAGCAGAGAATAATGTACATCATTGCATGAAGAAAGTCCTGTAGATGTCCTAATAATGATCAAGTTTCTACGCATCCATCTCCAGTGAGCCTCCTAGAGGTAGTCCGCCCAGAAACTGTTGAGCAAGCCCAACTTCATTTAGAGGCGTTAGCTGCTGGCTTATGTTGACCGTCTCTGAGGAAATAAATTCCTAACGAGTGGAATGAAGTGGGAAGTGTCTCCTGACGTTTTCACTGTAGAAATCGACCCGGAACAGAGTGATTTGTCAAGCGGCAAAGAAATTCAGTGTTAGAGAATTTCATATTAGAAGGTGGTGAGACCAACAAGGGCAGCGCAAAAAAAAAAAAAAATGCTAGCATTCAAAGACTGTCTGTCTCCCAGTGCTCCCAAAACAAGCGCTTCCGAGAGCCTGACAGCAGAGAACCAAACAGCTGAATCCTCTGGGTACTGCTGATCTTTGAGATGGTAAAATGGAATTCAAAAGACCTCTACGCTATAGTTATCATCTCCGCCATGAGAATCATGCAATCACTTGCGTGTGTGCGTGCACACTGTACGGAGTGCACCTCGCTAGTTATTTAAGATTTACTGTATTTTATTAATTAATACTAATTAATTAATTTGAAAAACAAGTGTTCTTCATTATTTTGTTTTTACTGATTAACTGTCAGATTGTTTATGTAAAAATACTTAAGAGTTAATTATGCAATAGCTGCCAACCCATCATCTTTAAAAACTCTGTACCCCAGAACAGGTGTTGCATCTTATAATCAGGGTTTTCCTATATTTGGTGAGACTATGATGAGAAAGGGCCATCTGGGACAGTAATGAATCAAATCTTACCTTGGGCTTCTTGTAGAAGCCAGACAAGTACCATCGCAACACCTGCTTGATCCGACCATACGCACTCTCCTCCAGTGTAGCTCTGTGGCAGAAAAGATGGTGAAGGAGACACAATTATGACAAGAAAATCAGACAAATAATAATTACAGGCTTCATCTCATTTTGAAGGAAAATCTGCACGATCATTTGCACACACACACAAACACAATAGTCAGGGGTAAAAGGGGGATTTGGCAGGTGGGGGAACCCTAACGGCATTGACATTATTATGCCAATCAGATTCACTTGTTTATCGAAGATACTGGAGGGCCATTCCGGATCGTTGCGGCCCACTTTATATAGTAGTATAGTGATTTTAAAATACTGACTGTGAGAGCAGGTCAGCGTGGTAGTAATAGTCAGACAGCTTGTCCAGGAAAGAGCGGGGCTCCAGGATGAAGGTGGGCAGCACCACCTTGGACAGATCCATGCCCGGCCGCAGCTGCTTCAGCAGGGTCCAGATCAGACTCTTGTTCTCCTCTGATACAGTCTCTACCTGGGACGCCTCGCCAGCCTGAAGTAACACAGACATGAGTGCTCGTTAATGAGGGTTACCTATAGCCACATTGATGGCTCTCCGGTCAGAGACCTGGGTTGAGCAGCTGGGACATGCAAAGAGAGAATTACCCAAAGGCAAGCAGTTACGTTTTAATTAAATATTGGGCCAGAGCAGGTAAGAGAAGGTGATGAATTGAACAATGGTGGATATAGGATGCCTGGAGTAGAAAACAGTGCTTTCACAACCCGACAGAATACTTGGATCATTCAAAACACTGAAGATGCATTTATTTTTACGTTTTCTTGCTGCTATTTTGAACATAAAAGGTAAAAACTACTGTGAGGGAATTGTAACTCGAACAAAACAAGACAGAGCGAGCTGCATAAGTACAGTAGCTGTAAAACCAGCCACTCACCTCAGCCATCTCCTCTGTGCTCTGCTCTACATAGGCTGTGGCCTGTGGCCCTGGGGACAGCTCGTCCGATTGGTCCATGTCACTCTCCCCTGTCAGCCTTCCACCGTTCTCATTGGCCGGGGTGTCCCAGTCATCATGAGCCTCGCGCTCCGATTTGTCCGAAAAGCCGTCATTCTCCATGTGGTGATTGCCCAGCAGCGCGCTGTCATTCAACCTAACAGAAACAGAAGAGAAGACAACACCAAGGTTATAATATTAATAAGCATCCCTGTTCAAAGGATGGTAGATCCCCTAAAAAAAACTGTGGCTGATCTTTGACAGGTCGCATCTTAATAGATTTGAATTGGTATCATATGGAGCTCTCATGATGTCAGCAAGTCGTTACAAGGAGTTATTTAATTGAGAGTAGCTTGAGGAAGTGTTAATGACCGTTATTAGGCATTAAAGACGAGTAAAGTCACAATGTAATGATCACAAACGTCTGCCTGTGTGTACAGCAAATGTGAATGGGGAACCTGTGGGTTATTTTCCTTCACCTATATAAAGTACTGTACTGTTATTAGTTGCCTGTAATTATAAACACAGGATATGAATAGGATATATTATTATTGTTGTTGTTTTGGTTGAGCTGTTTTGCATAAATTGTGTGTGGGGGGGAAAGTGACGCGAGAGAAGTTTGTGCGCACAGACCGGAGGAAGCAAGCTGCGTTCAGTGGACTCGGGAGAGCACGGTTTGCCGGCGATTGCTCAGCCAAGGATCCGAAGCAAGCGTTTCATGGATTATTGGGCTGGAGTCTTCACTGGGAACGGCACAGAGGGCCACCATCGGGACGCGCTGTGGCGAGGTAGCGCGGGTTCGGTGGACAAAGTCACCGCCGCGTCTCGCCACGCTTCCGCCGGTTATTGACTTTGCCTCGGGGATTGTTTTTTCATCGGACTGTTTTTCGTTACCTTCAAGGGACTTTTGAACTCATGGGACTCGGGGTTTGGGGTGGTCGTTGTTATGAAGGTTTAATTTATTGTGCCGTAGTACGGCGGGAGCCTCGCGGTTATTTTGGTTTTGTTTGTTCGTATGCCGAATGAATATTGATTTATATTAATATACTGTGTTACATTTACCTGGCAGTGTGGTTTCTTTGGCGTCTGGTGTGGTCTACCCTTATAATAGAGAGATCATTTCAGCGTGGGTTTGAACCTTCCACCCTGTTAATCAGGCAGATATAGACTGTAAACCTACTAATATCCGATCCGCCCGTGCCCTTCATTTTAGCGTATGTACTTTTCCCTTTTAGGTTTATATAATTAGGTGAATTGTTACAACATGGCATTACAAACATCTCATTCAATTTTGCTTCAGTGCTGCCGAAGCTTTGTTGATTGCTTCTCCAGTAAGGCGATCTACAAACGGCTCAAACGTAAACAAAAACTGAAATTACCTGCGATAAACCTTCAAGGATCTGACTGGCCTCACACTGTGGATTGAATATGCAATCAAATCTCCTCCTCCTTCTCCTTCTTCTCCCGGCCATGATGAGTAAGGCCACTGCGTCAGAGACGATCCACTATAACAATCTGGCTGACCTGGAGGGCCTGGATCTATTCAGTTAATGTGACCCGTCTGGTTGCCAAGAGAACCACAACAACATCTCATCCTTATCCATCTCCCATTCACTGGGTCTGACTGTGACCTCTAGAAAATCAGGGTAAACAAACAGGGTACATGTGTGCGTGTACTTTTATGTTAAGTACATGCATACATATATGCTGCACGCACACACCCACAAAGTTGAGAACTGGATCCGATGCTGATCCTGTATTTTCTCAATGTGTAACGTGCTAGTCTTGGACACATCAAACCCAGAGCACAGATCTGTCAGCACTCTAACAACCACAAAAAAAGTTGGAGGGAAAAAAAAAAAAAAGGGAAACACGGTGAAGAAAGTCACGCATCAGCTTTTAAATACCCAAAGACAGGAAAAGCAAGAATGAGAGAAGGAATGGGGGGTGGGGGATAGCTAATAGGGAACATGGTTCCAATCCTTCAGCCATTTCACAAGTCAAACAGTGGATGTCTGTGTACTCTGGTGGGTGAACGTGTCCAAGAACATACTCAAGGGGACTCACAAGCAGACGGACACGCATATGAAAGCAGGTCTTACTCATAAGATGCATACTCAAAAGGTTTTACGTCAGATATTTCACAGATCCTCCACACTTGGGATCTTAACAAACACAGTCAAACATTGGGAGTCAGATGAAGGTACAGGTAGTGTGTCGTGGGCTATGAAAACCACATTCAGTTATGGGATTGTGCTCACAGACAACAATGAAACAGCTTATTTTCCCCAAACCCACAATGGACGAGAGTTTGGTTTTCAAAATGCCTGAGGGCTCGACAGACAAGCAGTCACATTCTCGCGCGCACTCTGTGAATCACTAACCGACCAGTAACGTTATTTAATAACCCAAACACGCCCTGGTACAGAGGTGGCTTTCCTTACCTCAAAGACATACAGCATACAGACAAACTCTTCCTCAGGAAACAGAACGCCAACAATGATTTCCCTAGTAAATCCAAACACAAGCGCCGTCCTTCCTTATCTCCTCTCTTTCGTGTGTGTGTGTGTGAATGTTTTTGATCCAGTCACTGAAAAGGTGCACATTCGTTTCCTAGACTCTGGCACACCTGCTTCCTGGATGTGTGCTTGTGCATATTTCTGTGTCCCAATGCGTCTGTATGTATGTGGGCGGACTTGCGACGGCTGCGTCTGCCGTCTCTTTCTGCCTGGTGTATGGCTCTCATTCTACTTCATCTTCCTGCTCCTCTGTCAGTCATGTGACTGCAGGGGCTGCTGTGACTGGCCGGGAGAGAAACAGGAGAGGAGGGAGAGCTGGGATGGATGTCCAGAGGGAGGGTACAGCCATGGAGGAGGGGAGGAGGGGATGTCTAATGTGCAAGGTAAACAGCACACAAACAGCAACGCCCACGTTCAAGAGGAAATGCAAAAGATAACTATAATAGATAGGCAACATGTAAAAAGCATTAAAACAAATGGCAGATTGCATTATAAGATGTGGTGTGGCTGATAGTTACATAGCTTATTTTATTTTTTAGTCACATTTATATGGTTCCGGACACCTATGGGTGTTAGCTGCCTTGCAGATTAAATGCTGAGTAATAACTACTTGTTCTAATTGTCACTATTTAGGTAATTATTTCAGAATCTGGATACAATTTAAAAATTAAGCTAATTAAGCTGTATTGTGACATTTTTTATAGACAATATAAATGTCAAATCAAAGGCTTATAAGGCTTGAAAAACCTCATTCAACAGCATAAATCACTGTGTGGAAGACATCTCCACACTCCTCTAAGACTTCTATCCTGCTAGTATAATTAATACTCTTTCTAGTGCCCAATAAAGCACATTTTAACCAGTTTTACAAGGTGCTACTTTACACACTTCATAAATGGTAGTCTTCCGACCACTCAAAGCGCTGTACTCTAAATGTCAGCATACACACACACACATTCAGACTCTGATGGCAGAGGCTGCCATCAGGATCTAAACGAATGCAAATTCACGCACACATTTGGTATTCAGTGTCTTGCCCAAGGACACTTTGACATGTGGACTAGAGGAGCCAGAGATCGAACCGCAGATCTTGCGTTTAGAGGCCACAGAAACCCCAGAAGTTGAGAGGCACAAACTAAGGCAAAATCCCACTATGCTCCCACTGATCCAGCACAGGAGAAAAGAGTCACAGTGCTCCTATGTCATCATATGCCACATTTCCTCAATGAAAAATGACACAGCACAAAAAAACAGCTAGTCTCTCTTAAGCTCCTCCCTCTCTGTTTTTGTGTCACACATATACAGCATATGTGCTCAGCTTTACTAATAAAGCAAAATAAAACTGTGGCTAATTTTAGCAGAAGCTAAATTTAGATTCCATTTGCAGAGTTAAGTATTTTCTAGGATAAATGAGGTACAATAGACAGAGAGGCTACAGTAGCTATAAGAGGAGATGGTTTTCAACAGGGGCCACAAGACTAAATGTAAATGTTTAACAATGGTCAAAAGATGGTCGCCTGGAGAGATTCAAGATTTTTAATTGCAGGATCGCCTGTTTTTCCTTCATGCTGTCACTGTCTTTGTGTTGATGTCACAGCATGGCATAAAGTATGCATGACCGACTCTATCATGTATACATGCTTCTAAGTAGTAGTTGGTACGTGTTCATACTGTCTTGGGAAAACCACACATAATATTGGCTAAATAAATTCATTTTTCTTACATTTCTTTTAAATAATGCAGCCTTCTACCTATAGATTCCAAGTATGAGCATGTATCTTGAGTAATCGAGAGTGATACAAATATAACTACGGTTCTATGAATACTGGATGACCACCAGATCGCGGTGCTTTAGCACTGGAAACCATTGCCTCCCAGGCCAGTTTGGGGCTACTAGCAGTAGTTTGTGGCCCCCTTTTTGGACTCTGTTCAGCGTCATCCGAATGAGTGGAATTGGAGGGAAGGCATACAGAGGGCAGGCTGGCCAAGCATGAGCTAAGGCGTCCTGTCCCTGAGGACTGGTTCTCTTTATTAGGAAGTCCCAGAGGGGACAATGCGTTGATATCTCTGACGCAAAGACATCCAACTACATCTGGATGGAGCCTCCAGTCTCCCTGTGGCAGCCCCTGGCGGGACAGCATATCTGATGCAATGTTCTGCGCCCCTGGGAGATGAATGACCTTGAGGCTCAGGAAGTAGGGAAATGCCCACCTAAGGAGCTGTTATGACCCTGGCAGACCCTGCCTGGACCTGGTGCCTGCCTGATGATTGATATAATACACCTCTGCTTCACGCTGCATCCTCCCTTAATGGTCCAAACTGCACCCCAGCCCAATAGAGAGGCGTTTGTCTCCACCACCTCTTGGTGGGAAGGGATTACTCTTCAAGGAACCCCCTTGGTAAGATACAGTGTTCTATATGCCTGCTGCTATGTTAGAACTCCTAGCAAGGAGATCATCAATCAGTCAACACTGAGGATGGGCATCAGGTCTGAGAGCCTCATCTGGTGACACTATTTGGGGCCATACGATCTAAGCCATAACTTCTTGGGTCCTGCATTGCAGACAATTTCCTGCAATCACTAGTCTGATGGGAGAACAATTTAGGGTCTAACCAGCACTTCTGGAGCTTTTCAATATAGGGCTTAGAAGGAGGGACTAAAAAGGTAGAGGCCTGTGGCATCTGCCTGAAAAAAGTACTCGAAGGAGCCGCTGCCACAGGAGCTTCATCCAGCCCTAGGCGTGCTAAAGCTTTCCAAATAGCTGGCTTCATTGTGGCATGGCCAGCCTCTGATCCATGTACCTACCATCAGAACCCTGAGAAAAAGCATCAGATGCCCTGGAGGTTGTATCTCTATCATCATTGTGCCCCTTATCTGTAAACAGACTGCAGGACGCTGCAGTTGATTGTACATCATCCTCTTGACAAGGCGAGTCGCTTGTGGCGGAGTCACCCCAGGGAGCTGGCCATCTATTATCAGGCTGAATATTAAGCAGGATCTCTTTAATCTGAGCAAACTCTGATGAAAGACTGCCAACCTTGAGAGCCAAAGCGTCAGCTTTCCTTACTATTTTTGGTGGAACACGTGAGACCGCCTTAAACCTCTTAGGTGTTGTTGGGTCTGCAGTCACACGAGCAGGCGGCAGCTTAGTTTCACCACCTATCTTTTAAAGTCTTGCCATTCTTACTGACAGTGGAACAAATCTACAGATCACACAAGGGTCGTCGGGCATGCCCACCCTGAGGTGCTCGATTACCAGACAGGCCGGGCACTAACCATAGCCATCTTAAGTGTGGAGGGAGTTACAGACATGCGAGTTCAACATGTCATGAAGTGGGTCAGTCACAAAGAATAAACACTGACTAGATGAGTAACATAAAAACAGTACACAGCCAATTTACTAAAGTATAGACTGCATAAATAAGTCAGCAAAAATGCATCCGGAAAAATTAGCAACAGTCTTGCGAGTAAATTGCCGTGCAACAACTTGGAGTTTGATTACAGGAAACATAAATCATCCAATGACAACTAATACATGTAAGATGGAGATAAATGATGTGTGAGGCACTTTAAGTGTATGCAGCTGTATGAGTGTAGTACTTACTGTAGCAGCTCTGCATCAGTGAGTGCAGTAGACTGCAGCAGGTGGAGTATATGGGAGGACTCTGACGGTGTGCTTATATCTCCTTCTTTCCCACCTTTGGCTGTCAGCTTGTAGAGGCTGGAGCAGCTGAGAGCCAGCTCCAAGGCATCCATCCAGCACCGCCCTGGAGAGACGGGCACATTTTAGAGACGGGAAGGAGCGCATTCAATGAATCCTGCTCGTAAAAAATAAATACACTAGAATGTACATTTCCAACTAAAAAAAACGACCAGACACACGCCTCACCGTCGGACTCAGATGCTGCTCTGAAGATCAGGTAGTTGCTGGGTAGAGGCTGCGTGATGGAGCCAACATTCTCTCCTTTGGGACCCTGAGCACATGGATGAAACAGTGAGTCACGCTTCATGCCATTTCAGTCATGTTGCACCAACAGAAGCAAATGGCTCTCTCAAGGCCTGTGAGCATAATGGAGCACTAAACAGTATAATTATCACTTCAAAATGCAACCTATTGGGTGAAACAAAGTGAAAGGTGGAAATAAAAGCACATACAACACTGAGCGTCAACATACGCTACAAAATTAACAGAAATTAAATATAATTATAGATAAAATTGCTTTTGTTTTAATCTTGCACTGCAAGTAAACCCTGCATTTTCACTCAGCGTTGCTAAATCTGTTTTTTTTAAATAAACTCCAGTCATGACAACGAAAAAAACGCTTTCTGTACAGCTTCAATGCTGGTTAGACCATTTTCTCTTCTTGTATTTTGCAAAAAACACAATCAGATTTAATCGAAACCAACATCTAAATATAGAAAATGTAGAATTATCCTGGTATTGACTGAATAGTTTCATTTAGATCTTAGTCTGTCTCACTGTGATGAATAGCGAGGCAGACTGAAGTCTGTAGACATGTTGATCATCTGTTATTACAAACATGTCTGACCTTGAAAGCCCAGATGGATTTGTCCAGTGGGTGATAGAGCTTGAAGCAGAAGCCGTCCTTCTTGGAGGGTCTCTCAATCAGCTTGCAAGCACTGAGCAGGACGGTGCCCACCCAGTGGTCCGCTTTGGGGGTCTTATAGATCAAAAGAACTCCGGGCTTCAGTGCACACCACAGCTTGGTCCAACTCTTCAACGAGCCACGGATCTAAAGGAGGCCAACGGGTGAGATAGGAGGACATTTTAGTATCAGACACTAATGGGAACACATGAAATATGATGTTGCTTGTGTGATCCAGTCTACCGCTTATCTGGGGCAAAAAAGGCTAAACGTGAATACATTCTGAGCTGTACTTTCATTGTTCCATGATTATTTGTAACAAGGAAGTTACAACTAGGATGATAACTAGCAAAAGGCATAAATGACAGATGATACAAAGTCTGAATAGTGTGTCTCTACATGATGTAGTAGCTCTAATGAACACCCCCATACCTTCAGCCAGTTGGACATGATGACAACACTGGGATCCTTTAGTGCACTAAATAGTTCCTTAGCTGCCCGTTTCTTCTCTTGTCTGTAGTTCTGCTTTTGGAGCTGTGAAACAGGAAAGAAACCAACCGATGAATGAGTCATCAGTGTTACTGGTCGGGAGACTGATCTGACAGTAACACTAGATGGTAGCAGAGTTAACCAAATGCTCACAATCACGCTGTTGTCTTTGGTTAATCATCAACATGATTCATTGTTGATCATTTGAAATAAACAAAGGGGTACACATTTAAAATACAAAAAAGGTTCCCAAATGTCTCATGTATTATTATCCCACTGAGTTTAGACAGAGATACTGAAGAGCTAAATCACATGCACTTTATGACTCTTCCAATTGCACAATAACGCTCAACATTTTTGCACAATCGTCTCATGTAAGGAAGTGATGTGTACCTTAAGAGACTCCTTACGGGCCAGCTTCTCTGTGGGGGAGGGGCAGTCCTTCTCGACACCATTAAACACAGACTGAAGGAGGGAGGAGAGGAGACAGTCAAGCGAGGATGAAGAGGAGGGAGATTTAAAAGACAAATGCTGTCATCTATTGCAACTTCTGTGGAGATTTAGTTTACTAGATCTAGATTAATGATCTCACTAACAATCTCTCAACATTCTAGAAAAAAACAAAACATTTGGGACGACATTTTAGAATAGAAGGGCACAACCCTTTTAGACAAACAATTTACAGTTGTGATGTACTGCCACAAGTTGACTGGCTTGCATTATGAACCCAAAATGTAATTGTTCCCTTAGCCGTGTAGCTCATCTGATTTGCCATAACTTTGTATAAAGCAGGCGGGTGGCCCTTTCAGTTCATTTAGCAGGCAGTTCTGGTGTTGTGACCACAAACTTCCTTGGTAAGAGATCAAAGGGAGATAGAGATTAGCGTCTCAGCAGTAAATTATACCGCGGTTTCCCCATGATATATATTTTCATTACAACTGGTTCTGTATGCACTGAATCAATATGACTTACCATATTAACTGGTGAGCAAACACGCGTTTAGTCTTTTCTATTTGTGTTAAAGGAAGCTATTCTAAAAAGCGTCGTACACTATTACATCATGTGAGCATAAGGCTGCACTCAGTCTCCTTTTGTCCCATTAGGGCTTTCAGGATTGAAGAAAGGGCAAAGGGCCAGAGATGCAGCTGCGCCAGTGAACATATAAATAGGCGTATATTGCAAGGCGAGGCAAAGCGACAAGAGGAGAGAACACAAGACGAGATGAGATTACCCGGTTGCTGTTGGAAACATTTATTGATCTCTACTGATTAGTATCACTAAAGAATGGAAACAGATTGTTAGGACTACTACAACACAGGCAGCACCAGGACAATAAAGGTCTGGGTTAAATACATGGCTTGTGGTGCTGAAGACACAGTTCCCACCATGGCCCTGACATGTAAAATCCCACATATTTTTGTAGGGCTGAGTATTGGCATAAAAGCAATCTTATGCATTCAGAACAGTGGGATCAACATTTGTATTTGTTATAGTCCCTGTAACATCAGAGGACTACTGCGTCGCTATTTTGTTTTATAGGATGTACTGTACATTGGTGCAGCGTCAGGACTTAAATGCACTGAATGTTTGAAACAATGTGGGAATAACAATCTTGTATATTTCAAAAAACAAAGGTAGTTTTGTCTACTTAAAAATTCTTGTTCATGTTTCAGGTTGATACTACTACAAGCAATCAGAGGAAAATAAATCATCACGGAATACAAAAGGAAAGGGGCGCACCTAGTGAGTCAGTCAGAGTGAGCTGCCCAATCAGGATGTGTGTTCTTACCTGGCTGCCTGGGGATTGGGCAGGACTAAGTTCATTACTCAGCATGGAGGGGCCGTTCCCGTCTGTGTCACTGCCTGGTGGGAACCAACAACACACAGTCACATACAAATGAACTCCGTGAATAAACCCGCTGACAGACGTTTAAAGCATGGCAGCCCCGGACGCAGATCATAAGCAGAAGTTTAGGTTTATTGATTTGTGTGGAATAAGTACAGCACAGGGCCAGATCCTATCACAGACACTGGAATCCACTGGCACTGAAATATCATAATTTGTTATATTCACATTTCATTCGACAGCTGTGACCCTCTTGGTCTTTTACCTGGGCTGAGGCTGTAGAAGTCGTTGTCTCCTCCATAAGACAAGTTCCGGGTGAGGGTGCGAGGGTCAATTGTAGGGGGGGAGGTGGCGTTGGGGCAGAGAGAAAACCTCCGATGGAACAAATTCTCCTCCTTCATCCTGACAACCTGCTCGTCCTCTGCAGGCAGAGAAGTGACGGAGGGGAAGATTTGGAAAGGAAGGAGGAAGGTTTTGTTTGATTAGATTTTTGCATGCTTGTTCATCCAACATTAAGACTTTAAAACAGTAGAAGTGATTTATCCTGTCTTTAGCTCTTCTTCCTTTGAACATAATCTTACTTGTTGTCCCTCTCTGCATCACTAACTACGCTCTTAAACTCCATCCTCGTCTCTTCTGTTTGTGTATATCTATCGGTCTGTTTGGACCCCCACACTTTCTCTCCTCCCTAACACCAACAAAGACTTACTGTACCAGGACACGTCAAGCCGGTCCACATAATAGCGCTGTGCGTGGCAGTGACAAGCAGATCAGACAGCACATTGTCAGTGTATATGACGGATAGCGTCTCCAACCAAGTCCAGTCGCTCTGTTCACAGAGAATCACTGTCCAATCTGACCCCCACCACCATTGTCAGTCCTCCTCCATCCTCCCTGTCGGCCTGCAACAACAGGCTCCACTCCAGAAAATTGCTTCGCCCCCGAAAATGCTGCTTCTTCAGTCATTCCCTTGATATCCTCAAGGATCCCGTCTACTAATGAGATGCACATCTCAGCACACAAAAGGGGACAAATGCAGCGACTGCATATGTGGGCAGGATCAAGTTGTGGCTCTGCGGCTTCATGTTCATTTACAGCAGTGAGGGGATTAGTCATACATTCAGCCCACCATGCCCAAGAACATCAATAAAACATACAGGCATGTAGTATGCATACTGTATATAAGAGAGTGCACAAACAAAGACTGAACTGTAGACAGGAAGTCTTCTGTGAATCTACGTGATGTTGATGACAAACATGTTTTTCTTCTTTGATACCAAGAGACACAATGGCAATCAGTTTGCTCCTCTTTCTCTATTGTGCCTTGTTTTCTCCTGTACCGAGCTCATTGACTATTGACAAGTGGCAAACTATTCATAGCATGTCATTAACAACTGCAGAGGGTGGTGGGCTGATCATAGCCCACCGGAGCTGACGGGAAAACACTGTTCTCTACTCGGATCAATATGATCCCATTTGTTTTTCTTTCAGTGCACCAACACATACAGTAGACAAGACCCTCTGACTCCCAGCCTACGGAGCAGTCTGGCCTACAAGCCCTCAATTACAACACCCAAGAACGGCGCGTTACATACAATTCATTCATAGAACATTTTCACAGACTGATTCATCATTTAACTCTCCCACATCATTCAACTGTGATTACACTGGTGCATGTGATTACACTGGTGCGTGAGGAGAGTGCCGTTTCTCAAAGTGTACACTACTAGTAAGCGATGGAAGTAAAACCTGTGGGTTGACAAAGGATTAAAGGGTGGAGGACTCTTTGCAGTTAACAAACGGTATCCTCCCTCTACAAGCACATATTAAAAATACACTCGCATCCATACTCGTCACACCACACTCCCTGCTTCCCTTCGTTTTCCACTGCCTCATTCTCTCAGCCTCCTGACTCCCTTCTTATTTCTGATCTTGCAATCTCTTCTGTGCATTTCTTCCTCCTGCCCTCTGCTCCTTTGTCCTTTCAAAGAGGCAGCTATGAACAACCAAGACATGAAAGGGTAAAGGCACCTTTATTCTTTATGAAAAGGAGCCTTATTTGTCCTTGTGGAACAGGTCTATAAATAGTATTCCATTGCTGCAGTGCATGCGTGCATGTGTAGTACAGTGCTGAACCCTGAGTGCAGTGCAGGCTGCATGGAAAAGAGCATGAAGCTTTAGCATTACACAATAGTAAACACAATGGGCTGCCAAACTGTATCAAGGGAGACACACATGGGGAATTAATACCACTTACAGTGCAGGCCTTAGGGTGGGTCAAGATGTGGGCAGACATGGAGACAGACGGGACAAACCAATCACAGCTGGTTCTCACAGCTGCAGGGCGGAGATTTGCAGGGAGAAGGACTGTGTGTGTGTGTGTGAGCGTATTACGCAGTCTAGACTGAGCATGGGTGTGGAGTCCACGCATGCTTGATGTGTTTGTAGTCAGTCACTTGAGCATATCCATCCCAATAGTGTATGCGTAGTGTTAGTTGAATGACATCAGTGTAGAAAATGAGTGTGTGGACGGGCATACGTGGCTGGAAGTGTGTGCTTGGCTTGTTGCTGCAGGATTACACATGCACACGATGTAGCGCCAAAGGAGAGAGAAAAAGCTCCTCTCCAGTCCCAGTCCCAGCAGCAGTGGTGGAGCAGGATGCATCGAGTGTGCATTATTCACAAGCAGCAAATACAGACAAGAAGTTGGAAATCAAAGATTAATTGAGTGGCGCTTTACCTTGTGTGACTTGGCTAGGAGAAGACTGAAATAGAGGAACCTCTGTTATAATATAAGGTTTTTCAGGTCACAATAGTTTATCTATTGACAAAGGAGAAAACATAAGAGGAACCAGTCCAATGAGAGCCCAAGGAGGAATTCAAGCACCATTGTGCTAGCTATAGGCAGTCATTCCGCCCTCTGCTTGACCTTCTAATAATACTGAAACATTACATGCAATCGTGCTAAACCTCAACTCTCAACAATTTCTGTACACTAGGCCTAACGTTTGCCAAGCTAGGCTAACATTTACTCCTTCTACCACTGCCAGGCTACACATGTGCTAAGCTAATATTTACCCAGTGATAGGAACTTGTGGAAAAGATAAGAGTAAGGTAGCAGCACCAGGCCAGTCAATAACACACATTCCTGTGTCACACATTAACCTTGAACTATGAGAAAGACGGATACAACAACAACTAAAGTAATCTGACCCACAGTTACCTTGTCTGGGTGAAAGCACTTGTCTTGCTGTCACATGCTTGGTTTTTTTAGTAATCATTACACCAACTGGGAGGAGTGAGGGAAAACAGGTGTTGACATGTTGAGATGTTCCAACCTGTATATTGTTAGCATGCTTGACTAATCTAATCTAACTAGCATTCATCTCTCAGGGGACATACAAGGCTGAGCTGAAGGTGTAGTGGCTGATAGTGACCTTGGATAGTTTGTATTATTATATTATATTATCATAATCAAGCTAAATTCAACCGAAGACATTGTACGAGAATCTGGCTAAGAGACAGGTTACTCAATTGACGGAGTACTCCACACATACACAGCACACTACAGCAGCGGGGAACATGGCATCATGCTGGGGTTTGGTTGTAGCACCAAAGATTGTAGGCCGTTACTATAATAATAGTGGTGACTTTACGATGCGAACTTTGTACATGAAATAGTGAAAAGATCTCAATGCAGCACTGCGGGAGCTACTGTGGGTTAAAAGTTACTGTTTGTAGCTGCAATCAATTCACATTTTTTCCTGAAACAGAAGACCACTTCAACAGTGGTAAACCCACTGACACCAAGCCGAGTGACCAGGCTGTCCCACTCCCGTGTTGTACAACGTTGTTGCTCATCATCTGGAAGACGTCGACCTAGTAAGTTTTATTTTCCAGTTAAACTCACCTGAAAAGGCAGCTTCTTTTGGTTTACACAATGTCCAGTAATCCTAAATTATACACAGGCACCCAATGTGTCAACGCTAAAACTATTTAAGGCAGAAAATGTCATATGGAGTTCAAGTTCCCTGATTTAGCACTAATGTTGGCCCTTCACCCTGTCCCTTCTGTCATTCCCCCTAATGCATGATTCACACTCTTGCTGCTGTCTGCCTATGCATTCTGTGTGGGTTGGTTTAGGCCCTACATAGCATACATAGCACTGCGGTGGGTTGCAAGTAGGATATCGTTTTTTTTTTGATTACGGTCTACAGTTTTCAAATCCTTTTTCAGGCGGTTTGATTTGATATGTGTGCTTCAATAGTTCCATATAAGTTTGGCCCAACACAATTCCAATGCTGTAAAGAAATATATGGAAGAGATGGATGGTGAGAAGGAGCTCCTGTACCTAGAAGTAATAAAGGTGATTGTTGTTGTAACAGGATGTGAGGTACTTGTGCAGAAAACTCATCTCCTGGCCCTGATGTGAAATCAAAGTTCTGCGGGGTCCGCGGTGCCTGGAGCTTAGTCATATTGTTTAGGAGGTACACAGCGCATCTCTGCAGCTGTCTGCTGGTTCCACAAACGACCTCCGTGGCTGTTCGGAGATGGAATACATGGAAAGGCGTTATGTAATTAGCATACAAAAAAGGTAATTGTATTCCTTTACAGTTAAAGAAAAGAAAGACGTTGTCAGATTACTGATATATTTAGTAAATGAGGATCATTAGTAGGACTACAATTTTACATCACAACATCACATCACAACCCAACCATGTGCATATTAATAATTTAACAAGTTCTGCCCTGACTGATAGATTTTGATTTGCAACCATACTGTTGGCTGGGTGAACATTTTCACATCATGACTTTGGGTTGAGAAAGAAAATGTGAAGGCATCCGATTAAACCGGCACTGACAGCCCAAGTACACGCATGTCACATCAACATTTATTCTCTGACATAGTGCACAAATGGGAACAAATATATGGAACAAAAATTAAAAGACATACATTCTTAACACCTACCCCAAAATCTCAACCTGGCTTATGACAAGAGCCTTAAATGGATTTAAAAAAGTATAGGAAGTATAACATTCTTGATCGAAGAACTAAACCCTCTATCAGAATCTCAGTGTCAGTGACAGCCAAACACAAATGTTGCCTTGACAACTCCTTTGTGTGTGTGTGTGTGTGTGTGTGTGTGTGTGTGTGTGTGTGAGAGAGAGAGAGAGAGAGTGTTAGAGCCTTGCAATTCTGACAGCCAGCATCAAGCCAGCTGTTGCTAATATGATGGCACAGATTAAGTTCAGACACTCCCTCCATCACTCCATCTGTCCTCATTTCAGCACCCCCAGCCTTGTTAACCCCCAATCTCCAGTGACTGCAGGACTAATGGATGGCCATATGACCCAGATATACACCAATAGGCTTTCGCCAAGTACAGTATGTGCATCGACCGTGAACACTGCAACATACTG